AAAAGAATACTGCGTGCAACACTTATTTTCTTGCATCAGTGCTTATGTGATAGTCTTAATTATTAACAGATTTCTTTGCGCTCCAGCATTACATCCATAACTTGTACGAGTTTGCATGTGAGATCTCTTATCGGAATTTCTAGCACTGGCGGTTTTTCTAGGCAAAAATTCCAGCTCAGTTTACCACTATACGGCCAGAAGACGTTGATTTTAGGGCCATATTTCAATGGTCTCTATATTTGCCAGCGGATTTTTTGTACAGTGAAGTGATTTTATAATTTTAATAATTTACTGCTTTATTATAACCTCATAATTCTAAGGTCACTGATTTTGTGTTTTTTCTTTGCAGTGCGCCATAAATTACCATCCGATTTGCAATAAATTTTTGCACTTTTCGTCTTCTTTTTGTGCCTAGAGCAGCACCAACAGCAGCAATACCTCTCTTTCATTCGCTTTTTTTTGCGCATCTTTAATTAGTGTAAAATGCTGAGAAAATTTTAGTTCAAAGCTAAATATAATCATATTCCCTTTATTGTACACTGTCAACGGCAAAGGCACTCGGAAGTAGCACGTGCCAACGACAGCCACTGGCTGGCAAGGCTATCGATGGCATCCTTTTCCTTGGGTTGCTTTTAAAAAAAAAAGGTAATTCCTGGCATCTTTCAAGAACAATATACCATCGGAGCAGATTAAAGAATAGTGATAGCGAAGGGAAGCGGGGGGATGGTTTCATGGCGGAAGACTCGCGAAAAATGGCCAAGAAGCCACCATAGAGAAAAAAAAAGGTAGGGGCTGCTTGCCTTCAAAGCTGATACACAGTAAATGTGCTGCCAGGCTGAACCTAGATCACAAGAACTGTTGGTGTAGTGGTAACACATTGCATCCGAGCGTGGAGAGGTGTGGTTCGATTCCCTTCCGCTGCAGAGCAATTTTCGAGGAAGGGCTCCGTTCACGACATTGTATTCGTAGAATCAAATCTTCAACCCTTTTCTATGTCTCTTCAGTTTTTGGAAATTGAGAATGGTGAATCAAATCTCACTACAATCTCACTGTACAATCAAATTTCACTGTAGCTTAAAGTGGCGAAGCTTACCGAGCGAGCCTGTGCGATCATGCGTTTTCGCAGTATTTCGCGCTGTTTTGAGGTCACTTGAAGTCCCAGTAGCTAGAATTTATTACGTACTGAGCCTTGAAGTTTAGGAAATTAATTGTGCAATTACATGATGCTTGATCAGGGAACATCCCTTTAAAATTTCAGCAATTTCAAATCCAGCCTTTCCTGGTCCTTGAGTTAGCAATTTTCTCGTAACAGATTTTCGCGTGGCCATACGTGAGAACCACGCATGTCTGGGGGATAAATTTGAAACATTTAAGTTGTAAATGAGCTGGGGACATTCCCTTAAAATTTCACCTCCCACCTTTCCCGGTTTCCGAGTTAGCGATTTCCCCGCCAGGAAACTTCAGGGGGTTGTACGTGAAAAGCACGTATACCTGAGGGCTGGACTTGAAATCTTCGAGTTCTATGTGGGCGAGGAACATAACCACAAAATTTCGGCTTTCTAGCTTCTCTGGTTTCTAATTTAGCGATTTTCCCGCGAAGAATTTCACGCGCTCGTACACGGGGCCTAAACGTGTGTGAGGGTTGGTGCCGCGGTTCTGAAGTGGCTTTTAGCTGGACATCCCAATGGCAAAATTTTGGCGCTGGAGCTTGATTGGTTGCCGAGTTGAAATACCCGGACAGATGCACATACATACATACATACACCAGCTTCGTCACAATATGCGTTTTTACATTTGCATATAAGCAAAAACCAATAATTACAATGCTTATTGCTTTCGATGGACAGTGAACTCGGTGAATTCGTGCGGTTCATTTTGTCATTATTAGCTTTTGTACAGCTCCTCGATGCTGATCACACATCCAATACTGGGACTTGAGGAACTCTGGCACTGGGAGGAGAGCACCGTTCCTCATGTACTGGTTGGTGATTCTTTGCAAAATTACTGCCGACGTCATGATTATCCGGAGACGCTTATTTGCCATGATATGAAAGGAGGATATCTCGCTGAAGACAGGTAATTTCATGCACAATGAAAATTCCGTTCACCATTTTCTGCTGTATTTTTGATAGTCCAGAATTTGAAGTGGATGAAAAGATTAGTGCTTTTTATTAAATAGTTCACATACATAAGTTATCCCTCTTTTAAGTCATATTTTTTCCAGAATTTCATTTATTTTCTGTTCTCCCATATATCGGCTAGTCGTGATTCTATTAATATTATCATTATTGTTACTTTTATCTTTGTCACAATTACCATTTCTTGCATAGGCTTGTCCAGGGTGGCTTGCTGGGGATTGAGGGGAGTTGGGGAGGAGGGGCGATAACCAGCAAGAGGAGAAGAGGGGAAGAGGAGACGACGAAGGATGCGGAGGAGAGTTTTCTTCATTTTTAGCTTTAGACCCGGACTTTTGTAGCACTGGTGCCTGCGCCCCCTTACTGGATCCCGTTATAATTACTTGTTATCATTCTCTTATCTTCCATTACTATATCGTCATTATTGTTAATTAGTATTCTCTTTATTAAATTTTTAGCTGTTTAGATTGGATGGTTGTGCAGTGACGGATTCTGTAGCTCCATATATACTTTTTCACTGGTGGTATGTCGATATTTTTGTATATTTTTCGCACAGCTTCATCACCATTCCACCAGTGGGCTGGATAAATCAGGCCCACATGCACGGTGTGCGTGTGCTCGGTAAAACATTTCTGATTGTTGCGTCAATTTTGCCAAATTTTTGTTAAATTTCGTATATCACGGAGCAAAGATTGGAATATGAATCAAAAACTTGGGTAGTCAAAAAACAGCCCTGGCAAACGTGGTTTTCGTCATGGCTTTTTATGCGTTTTTTGCAGTCATGCAATGCAGAAAGCGCATATTGACGAGGGGTTGTCTGTGTGCCCGTGTGTCTGTGTGTGCGTCTGTACCGATTTTTCATCGTAAAACTTATAAAAGTTGCAGGGCTAAAACTTTGGGAACTTAATCTACATACACGTACGGGCTCCAATCCCCAAAATGGGCACCCTTACCCGCGTGATACCCACGTACGAGCCCGTCAAAGTTTTTTACGGCTAAGCTGCTAGCTCGGTAACCAGAAATGCTGGGAGACTGAAATTTCAAGGTGATATTCCCCGTCCATCCAGGTCTCATTGGGCTTCTACTCAGCCTCCGGGTATGCGTAGTACTCATGTACGGGCTCGCCAAAATTTTTTTCGGGTAAGTCGCTAACTCGGGAATTTGAAAAGCTTGAAGACTGAAATTTTCATGAGATGTTTCCTAACAGTCCTGGTGGCCAGTCTGAAATTCTTTTAACTAGAAGCGTTTGCCGGAAAAAAAAGTGCTGTTTTTAGCGACAAAAATCTGTGGGGAGCTATACAAAAAACGTATCTTCGCACGGGCAACTCGTGCGTTTGCCAATTATTCTAGATTAGAGCCCCGCCGAAATGTTAGTTCCTACAGTTCTGTAGTTCTGAACAACTTAATAGTATTTGTTAGAGTTATTTTTTTGATCAGGTTTTCAAATCAC